TAAATATGGGTTGTCAAGGGTCACAACAGTCCCAAAAATTATCAAAGCGCCAAATACCAATTTGACCTTGACTTCAGGACACCTAATCATGGGTAGGTTAAGGGTAACAGCACAGACCAATGGTTTTGAAAAGCCAAATACCTTTATAGAGAACCTGCAGATCCAGTTAGTATGTTGACCAAGATTGAGGGGCCAAGGTCAAAAGTTCTAGATGTCCAGACAGACCGACTTACCAACTGACTGATCGACTGACCAATAGACGGATCGATTGACCAACATGCTTTACAGTAAAAAGATTGGTCCTTTCCCTTTGGCAGTTGAGCTATCACAGTCCTTGTCTAACCATTTATCTTATATATGGTAGTTACATACCTAGTGAAGCATTTGTATGGGAGTCAATGGAGCTGAAGATCCATTATGTATTCCTGAATAGCCACCAAACTTTTTACCATGACAATCTTATGAAATCATGTTTCATTTCTTCTAAAATTCCATTCACACACAGATGTGTAACGTAATATAAAGTAGCCATGGACATAAATGTATGTAATACAACAATTATGTCCATATCATTGAATATATGGCTTTGGTGTGTCGTAAGTATAACCCTCGCTAGTTTTCCTATACTGTTTTAGGCAAGGCTAAAAAGATAAAGTCAATGAAATCACTAGGGAAAGTATATATACTGTATGTAAGGAATATGTATTTAGAACAAACTTGATTACTTTGTACACAATTGAGCTAATTTTCTCATTAGTTACCATGCATATATATTATTCTTTCTAGCTATGGCAAGAAAACCGAAGTGTATGAGCAGAAGGGCTGCTATGGTTAGGGCCAGACTTGGCCTGAAGAAGGTACAGTATAAACGATGGGAACCATTCTATCTGGTGACATGTCATCTCTACCCCAAATAAAATCAATCACAACCCCATGAAAAATCAACCTCTACACATTAATTTATTGACAAACCTTATTCTATAATGTAATGTTAAAGTTGTATATTTAATTCTGTGTCAGATATCAATATTTCATTTTATGACCTGACTAATACATAAAACTATTTCAATTATTTAGGGAATAATAGAAGACACAATAACCTAACTAATGACCTGATCTGACCATTCTCTATGAAACACATTTGGAATTGACACTACTTATTTTGGAATAATTATAATTTTTTTAATCCATTACTTAATGTACAATTACTGTTACTAAAATACAATGACAGAAATGAAAAGATATTTCCAAATGATCTATATTTTTAGAAACTTGCTTAATCAATGATTGTTGACACTTTGATGAATGATTACTGACCAACTGTGGATCTAACATTGCAAAAAAATGTTTATATAAAATTCCATACAATTTGCTTAATAATTATCATACTGGAGTAAAGCTTTAATGGAGTCCGAATCTTAACTTTTCCGTATCGTAAATTCAATTGTTAATTTACGAATTTGTCGTATATTTACATTAAAGCCATTTCTGAACTTTTCCGTATATTTCTAAAACATCGTAAATTAACGATTATTCCGTATATTTCTAGGACACCTAATTATATGTCCCAAATTTAGGATTTGACATAATCAAAATAATATAGCGGAACTCAAGTAATATATTATATGACGAATGTTGATGTATTAAAAACCCAATATCAATAGCTCCATGCTCATATATAGTATTTTACATATCACCCAATATTCATGAAATAAGAGGTAATTTTGTAAAGATGCTAAATTTTTTTTGAGAATCCAAGGACACGCACGATGTTATCACGTCACACCCTGTGGCAAGGTCATTGTCCAAATCGCTCTAGTTAGCGACGTCAAACACAGAAGCCGACTTCCTGTTAGGACAAGTTAAGGGAATAATTCAGAATCGGTTTTAAACGTTTTCAGTAAAGTGCTCCAATCGTAAATTATTTACGACAGAGGTTTACGGAAAAGTTCAGATTTGTACTCCTTGGTGACTTAACTTTTTTTAGTTGAGTTTAACTGGGTTGGATTGATTTGGGGTAGAGATGAATTTTTATCGCACCATTGGGTGCTATATTGTGATCAGTTTGCCAGGCATTGGGTGGGCGTCCCTATAAATCTTGTCTACTGGTTTCCAGCCAAACCGTTTGAGGGATTCATTCTTGTCTGTCAAGGCTTGTCTACAGGTTTCACACCATACCGTTTGAGGGATTCATTTGAAATTTTCAGGGATGTTTCTACCTATAAAAGTTTAGAACTGATTAGTTTTTCGGCATTCTGGGTAAATGTTAAGGTGCTCATTTTGGAATCTTCGTCCTAAAATCTTGTCTGTCAATGCTTGTCTACAAGTTTTGTGCCAAACCGTTTGAGGGATTCAATTGAAATTTTCAGGAATGTTTCTACCTATGAAAGCCTAGAATTGATTCGTTTTCGTAATTCTGAGTAAATGTAAAGGCGGTCATTTAGGGTTTTCCATTTTAAAATGTTGTCTTTGAGGTTTGTCTACAGGTTTCCAGCCAAAACAATTTTATGGATTCATCTGAAATTATCAGGGAAAGCCTAGAACTGATTACTTTTTTTGAGTTCTGGATAAATGTGAAGGTGGCCATTTTGAATTTCCTGTGCTTAAATCTTGTCTGTTGAGTCTTGTTTACAGATTTCATGGATTCATTTTAAAATTTTAATGATGTTAGAACTGATTATTAGTTTTAGGCAGTCTGGGTAAATGTTAGGGTGGCCATTTTAGATTTTCCGTCCTCAAAACTGTATTCTATTCAAGGGTGCAATTCTGTACACTCTGTGTCTTGTTTGATTTAATTATTGAAAGCAAATAAAATATCGATATCAATGTATAAAAATTATAATTAAATCATATCAATATGGCTTGTTTTGTCAAAGTATAATACAAAGCTTCATGATTGAGAGAATAATATTGTTCCACCTTCCAAAATCTACAGGGGTGATCAACAAATAACACAAATAGAGCTCTATCTCAGAAACTAATTGGAGTTAGAACACCAAACTTGATACATAGTGTGTAAATATTACACAAACTTAAGATTACCATGGGATTTTGACATTTTGACAGTCAAGAACTAAACATGGGGTTTTGTACAGTCGGCGTAATTTGAAAATGTACAGGAAACATTGGACTCTTCACATCAATATTTCTCTATTCATTTGATTCCCCAGAACAATATAAAGGAGGGGGAATATAGACGGGAGTATAATTAATTAAATTCCATTACATTTATCATTAATATTATTACTACTCAACATAATTTGACAATAAAATTAACCCGTTTCTGTCACAATTCCCATTGACTTCTAATGTGTTAGGATTTTCCCGTGAAAATCTGCCCTACTCTGACGTCAGATATTTCAGATTTGCTAATTATAATATTCATGAGCTGACTTTGGGGAAAGGTGAATAGTTTATTTCTGGTGAACTGGACATTAGTTATGAGCATGAAGAATGATTATTAAAAGAAAATCGTGACATCATATATTTGAGGTGCTTCAGGTGCCCATAACTTAGGTTACTGTATGGTAAATGCTTATTGTTACTTAATATTCAAGACCTGCTTCAGGTACCCATACCACAGGTTACTATGGTAACTGTAACTTTAGCATACATCAATGTTTGTGCATGAAATTTTTTGGAAATAATAATGAATGTTTGGTGATGCTATGTACAAAGTTTGGTGTTCTAACTCCAATTAGTTTTTGAGATAGAGCTCTATTTGCGTTATTTGTTGATCGCCCCTTGTATGATATTAAAAAGTGGGTAATTTGTGATTTTCCAAAATGAAAGAAATTAAATACCATCAAAATATACCAGGAGTACAGTAACCTCACTGTGGAAATTTAACATTTGTGGGGGTCATCAATTTACAGACTCAAGTTTGACAAAAGATAAAAACATTATCTTAATCACTAAGACAATTTTGAATTGATAAAATTTTGAGTACCTAATTGAAATTCAATGTCATACTTCGAGAAACATTTTCTAAATTCTGTCATTTTAAACAAATTGATATCTTAGCAAGTTTAAACCCTTACTTGCAAGATTAAATTATTTTCTTCTGGGGTTTAAAACAATAAGTCCTTTAACACAGGATTGCAATGAAAAACTTGTCTACTATGATGAAGCAAGCTAGTTCTCATAGTACGAGTAAAATGTAACCTTTGAACAAATTTTTCATAGTTCTTGTGAACAATTATCCAGGTGCCATCCTTTGTAAAAAGTATTTTTTGTTCTATTTCAGGCATGTGTAGTTGGTAGTAGGTACGAAAGTAGTTGTAGGTCCGGAGCACCTGCGCTATCTCGAATGGCATCGAGGATAAATAAATCCATTGCCTGCGGGACTAGCCCCCCAAAGAATAACACCCTGGCTTGCGGGAGTGGCACCCCAAAGAATAACATGTTGGCCTGCGGGACTAGCCCCCCAAAGAATAACACCCTGGCTTGCGGGAGTGGCGCCCCAAAGAATAACACTTTAGCTTGCGGGAGCAGCGTCCCAAAGAATAACTTCCGTGCTTGCGGGGATGGTAACCCAAAGCAAACGAATAAGCCACTGCATAAAAATCCTGAAATTACAAAATCTAATGTACAAACTGAACTAACTGAAAAAATGCAAAATCAGAACCGAAGCTCTGCTAAAATTTTTCAAAATGACCAAAAAAACTTGGCTGAACCATGTGAAATGTATGGAACAAATGAAAACTCACTGGATATTGATGAATCAGCTAATGATATTGCTGAGAGAACAAACCAATACCATAAACCAGACGACAGTTTTCAAGAAAATGATACGGAACCAACTTGCATTGTAGAAATTCCTACTGATAATAAGAGAATAAAGCCTCTATGCAAAAGTATTGACATTCTGAATGATACAATGTACAAGTCACCAAGTAACCTTCTTCTTAGAAATGTTGAACGAATCCAGATTTCAAACACAGAACAGGTGGTTAACTCTTTTGAAATGCCATCTGTTCATACATTACTAAGTCTAGACAAAAAAAACGCCTAAACATTTAGCTGCAAATATTCAGCAAATAAGCATGAAGAAATACTGCAAAGGAAAAAAGCAAATAGATCCAAAACTGAACATGATCAAGTCTGATGAAACTGAAACAAGGAACAAAATTTCTAAACGAAATGTCATGCCAACAAAAGAAAATGACTCAGATATTTTCAACCACGAAATTGACTGTATATATCATAGATATGTCAAAATAAATGATTCATTCATGAATTCAGGAGCATTAGATAAACAAGGAAAAGATGAGCTGTGCAGAATGACGCTTTGTTTGAATGAACTGATGAAATGTATGAAGGAATTTAATATGAATGACTTGCAACTTACATCTCTGGAGCACAAAGTCAAAGCATTAATTCAAAGAGTCCGATACAATTGTCAGTCTGAAAATGTTATAGCACATGCTCTCATACAAGAATCTTACCGTACCTCCATCATGTGTGAAAATCAAGTATATCGCAACAGCTCAAAATTGAAATATGTCACAAAGCCAAAGACTAAAAAACTGACGTCATATAAAAGTAGGCAATACTTTCATTTGTTAGAGGTATGCATTGCCCTCAAAAGCAAAACAAGCTCAATGTCTGACAGTCTTGCAAATCTAAAAAAGGAAAGTACAGCTAAAATAAAACATTTGAAAAAACTCTATGAAAATGCCCTCAGAAAACAGAGTAAAGCTGCATATATAAAACAGAAAAAAAAATCTTGCAAAAAATCCGGAAAACATATTTCAATGAAGTTGGAACAGTATTCTAAACAACCAATGATACAACAATCAAGCCGTAAACTTGGAAGAAGGAATAAGATTTCAAGCAAAAACAAACATGTACCTAGCAAAAGTACTGTGACATCAGTTTCAAAGCAGGACTTGTCAAAAATTCATGATCTGGAACAGTACTTATCTGACGATTCTGTACGTGTACCACCGATTGATACAGACAAATATGAAATGCAAAACAATGAAGAATGCATAAAGTCAGAGAGTAAACATGAAGATCCATACTTCTTAAAAGTTCTTGAAGATATGGAAGACATTTTTCAAAATGATTGTACACGTGTGCCACCTGTTCAAATTCATATAAATATTGATGAACTTAACAATAACAATGATATTATTGAACAATCTCAGAGTGGTGGTTACAAGCCTGAACACTCTGGAAATAAATCAAGTGATAGTTCAAATGATATAACAGTGACTCGGACAAATCAAAGTCGACCTATTGGGAATTTTACTCCGATTCAAAATTATGATAAATTACATCTTTGTAATATCAACAATCTGAAATATTCACATAGAACCAATGATCCTGTACGTGAGAATGTTGAACTTAGACACATGAAGCCAAAACTTTTAAAATCTATTACTGGTGATGGCAATTGTCTCTTTAGAGCTATATCATATTGTATTTCAAATGATGAAACAAACCATAGAGTGATAAGACAAAGTATTGTAGCACATAGAAATCAACAGAATGCCCAAGACTATATTTATAAATCAAGAGGAATCACAGATGGAGAATTGAAAATGCATATCAAATCAAGAAATATGAATAAATGCTCTGTATGGGGAACCGATATAGAAATAGCTACTGCCTGTCATTTGTACGAAATGAAGATAATAATTTATGAAAGGAAAAATAGCTGGTCCATATTCGGTAAAGAATTCATGAATAGATGCATCTACTTAGATCACTCAAGTCAAAACCATTACGATGTAATATCTGATGTGCAAAGCAATATAGTACACAAAGTCATTCAAGGAACCATGGCTCAGAATGATGATGTATTTGACAATATTGGTGGAGGCAAACAATGTTTTGCAAATTCATTGACTTTTCTTATGATGTTTCAAGCTGAATCATACCGTTATATTGATACTACATTTATCGATGATGTATTATACAGAGGCAATGTTCTTTACACAAAGATCATAGAAATGAATCCGACTCCTACTGGCTACCTTTGTATATATGATATTCCAAAGAACATAAGTTGCAATGATAACACTTTCACATTAAGATCCAGTCCAATACAAGGGCAGTTGGAATATTGGAATTATGAAGACGATGAACATGGATTGTCAATACACCAAGCTATAGATCAAGCTCTTACTGATTATGACTCTTGTCTTGTAACATTCTTCAATGCAACAATGTGTGTCACAAAAAGAAATACAATGTATTATTCATTTGATCCCCATTGTAGAGATAAACAAGGAAGAAGTAATGATTTTGGAAAAGCAACTGTACATGTATCAGATTCTTTCGAAGAAATGACTAAATTTATATGGAACACAGCTGAATCCCTATCAGATAATATACGAGACCAAGCCAATACTAAAAACCACTTTTCTGTCGATGGTATAACATTGATAGAATGTACAAAATCTTATGAAATAATAGACCCAGAGTGTGAACCTAAAATATCAGGTGAAACAATATCCAGCAGACTAAAATGTAAAAATGACCAAGGCAAAAATGAAATAAAAAACTTGAATGTTTGTGACTCATCCCACATATCTCCAAAGTCAAATGAAAAGAAATCTTGCAAAAGAAAATTGAACTTTACAGATAATAATGATAAACAGAAAAGTAAAGAATCTAAAGTTGAAGAACATTTATCAAATAATGAGCAAAATGTTGTTGGTTCAATCTCTCTAGAAATCAAAGAATCATATGTTGATCTTTGTAAATTAAAATACATATGTGGCCAGTTAGTTCCTGGAAATTGTGATAAAGACACAATGTACTCAGTTGAAAACACTGCTCATGCCAAAGAAAACATGTCTGAATGTGATCAATTGACTGAAGATAGCAAGACTGATATTTTCTCAGATATTGATAAAACCAGATTGAGAAAAATGTCAAAGTCAGATCAAAGGAAATACAAGAGTAAAATACTTCAGAAGAAAAAGTATACTACTAATGAATCTTTTAAAAAGGAAAAAATAGAATATGGTAAAGAGAAATATGCTTCTACACCTGAGGTTAGACATGCTATGAAAAGCGAAAGTAAAACAAAATATGCACATGATATAGACTTTCAAGAGAGGTTGAAACAGCAAAGTAGACAAAAGTATGAATCTAATCTAAACTTTCAAGAGAGGGTGAAACAGCAAAGTAGACAAAAGTATGAATCTAATCGAGACTTTCAAGAGAGGGTGAAACAGCAAAGTAGACAAAAGTATGAATCTAATCTAGACTTTCAAGAGAGAGTGAAGCAGCAAAGTAAACAAAAGTATGAATCTAATATAGACTTTCAAGAGAGTGTGAAGCAGCAAAGTAAACAAAAGTATGAATCTAATATAGACTTTCGAGAGAGTGTGAAGCAGCAAAGCAAACAAAAGTATGAATCTAACATAGACTTTCGAGAGAGTGTGAAGCAGCAAAGCAAACAAAAAAGCAAACAAAAGTATGAATTAGATCCAGACTTTCAACAACAAAAAAAGCACCAAAGCAAACAAAAATATGAATCCGATTCAGACTTTCAACAAAAAAAGAAGCAACAAAGCAAACAAAAGTATGAATTTGATCCAGACTTACAAGAGAAAAAGAAACAAAAAAGCAAAGAAAAATATGAGAACGAAAAAACTAAAAGGGAAAATATTGAAAGGGTTATTGATGAATTCAAACAAACAGTAAATGATGGACTAAACTATATTTGTGTGGTTTGTCACAGATTGCTCTTTAAAAACCAAGTCCTTTCCTACAAAGAAAATACCTATTCAAAATTATCTCAAGAGGAAGAACAAAAGAATGTTTCAAAAATATTTTTACACAAGAAAGCAAAGTCATGCAAACAAAGTTGTACACTTTGTAAATCCCCTAAAAGCAAATTATGGATATGTCAGAACTGTCATGTACACTTTAAAAAAGGTAACATTCCACCAACCGCTTTCAGCAACAAAATGATTGTATCTTCTACACCGCCCGAACTAAAAAATTTGAATGTGCTTGAACAACATTTAGTATCACTACGTTTACCTTTTATGAAAATAGTGCAATTACCTAGAGGAGGACAATGTGGTATGAATGGTCCTGTCATATCTGTATCAAGTAATGCCGAAGAAAACATTAAAGCTTTACCAAGACCAATTAGTGATGAACAACTTTTGACAGTCAAACTTAAACGAAAACTGGAGTATAAGGGTCATTACTTATATAAATCGGTCAGTATTTCTAAAGTAAAAAAGGCACTTGAATACCTTAAGCAAAACAATGAGCAATACAAAGATATTGAAATATTGGATGATTTTATAGATTCAATACCATCTGAGATTTTAAGTGAAGAAGATAAAAAAGGACATTGGCATAAATGTGAACTTAATCCAACTGAGACTTGCTGTGATAAAAAAGGAACAAGTACAGAAAACCTAGAAAAATATGCGAGGAATGATACACAGAATATTGTATTTGATACTTGTATGCAACCTGATGATATTGCTCAACACATTCTTGACACACATCTTGACAAGATATATTGCATTGCACCAGGAGAAAACAACAAGCCAATACGTATTCTTGAAGAAAAGAATAATGAAGCACTTTCATTTCCAACTTTATTTCCAAATGGAAAAAATACAAATGCTGAAAAAAGAGACAAGAAATTGTCAGCAAGCAAATATTTTGGCAATAGGTTATTCTCTGCGGACTTACGATTTGCTAAAAATACTCAATATATATTTTATGCCCAATATCTGAGTGAACTTCAGAATATACTTGGTAAAGTAAGTATCAACCTCAGAAAAATAACAGAAAAGTCAACAAGTGGTGATGTAGTAACAGCTGATGATATCATTAGTAAGGAAAAGAGTGAAAAGCTTTGCCGTAAAAATGTTGGTCATCACTATCTGCAACCAATACGTGGCACACCACCATATTGGCAACATGTACAAAAAGATTTATTTGCAATGATAAGACAACTTGGGCCACCAACATGGTTTTGTTCATTTTCATCGGCAGATTTGAAATGGAATGAGGTTATTGAAACGATTCTTAAACAAAATAATGACCCACGTTTGCCAGATGAAATATCAAAAACAGAACGATGTGAATTTATCAGAGATAATCCAGTTACTGTTGCGAGAATGTTTGATAACCGATGGAGAAGATTCATGACTGATGTGTTGAAATCACCAGCAGAACCAATTGGTAGAATTAAAGATATGTTTTACCGTGTTGAGTTTCAAATGAGAGGATCACCTCATGTGCATTGTTTGATTTGGATTGAAGATGCTCCCATTTATGGAAAATCAAAAGAGTCAGATGTTGAAGAATTCATTGATAGATATATCACTTGTGAACTGCCAAATGAAACAATTGATCCTGATTTGAACAGAATAGTTAATGAAGTTCAAACACACAGTAAAAATCATTCGAAAAGTTGTAAGAAAAATAAAAAAGCAAGTTGTAGATTTCACTTCCCGAAACTTCCATCTGACAAAACATTTATTGTTAATGACAATGATTCTGAT